GAGAGAGAGAGAGAGAGAGAGAGAGAGAGAGAGAGAGAGAGAGAGAGAGAGAGATATCAGAGGTACTGGATCCCCTGGAACTGGAGTTACAATTAGTTGTGAGCCACCTGATGTGGGTGCTGAAATCAAACTCGAGTCCCCAGAAGAGCAGTTCTAGGGAGCATTTTAGCCACTGAGCCATCTTTCTAGCCCTTACTTTTTTTTATTATTATTATTATTATTATTATTATTTTATTTTACAAAACTATTCAGTTCTACATAACAGCCACAGATTCCCTTGTTCTCCCCCTTCCTGCCTCCCTCCCCTTCCCCCCAGCCCACTCCCCATTCCCACCTCCTCCAGAGCAAGGCCCCCCTGAGGACTGCGAACGACCTGATAGACTCAGTCCAGGCAGGTCCAGTCCCCTCCTCCCAGATTGGACTGCTACTTACTTTATTTTTATGAATGTTTGAATATGTACATGTGGGTTCCCAGGGAGGCCAGAGAGAGTATAGAATCACTTGGAGCCACAGTGACAGGTGGTTGCAAGTTGCTTGATGTGCGTGCTAGGAACCAAACTTCTCTGAAAGAGCAGCAAGTGCCCTAACCACTGAGCCATCTCGCCAGTGCCTGTATTTCTAACTTTAAATGTGTTGACGGACTAACTAGGCATTGTAACACAGGCTTGTAATTCTACTGCTCAAAAAGCAGAGGCAGAAGAATAGCTGCAAGTCTAATGTCACACAGCCAGACCCTGTCTTTAAAAAAAGACAGACAGAAAGCCAGGTACTTTAATCCCAGCATTTGGGAAACAGAGGCAGGCGGATCTCTGTGAGTTCAAGACCAGTTTGGTCTACACAGAGAGACCATGTCTCAAAAAAATACATATATAAAAATAAAAAAGATGTTGAGGCCAGCCTGGTCTACACAGTAAACTTCAGGCCAGAAAGGGATACATACACCTTGTTTCAAAAAAGAAAAAAGTGCTTGCAGTTTATAAAGATTCCATACTTCATAAAATAGAAAATGATTGAAAGGAGGAAAATGATTAACATATAAATGTAACCTTGTACAAGTTTGCATTCCCACCAACAGTGAAGGAGTGTTCCCTTTGCTCCACATCCTCTCCAACATTGACTGTTATCAGTGTTTTTGATCATAGCCATTCTGACAGGTGTAAGGTGGTATCTCAGAGTCATTTTGATTTGCATTTCTCTGATGACTAAGGATGTTGAGCATTTCTTTAAATGTCTTTCAGCCATTTGTGATTCTTCTTTTGAGAATTCTCTGTTTAGCTCTTCAGCCCATTTTTTAATTGGATTGTTCAGTATTTTGATGTCTAGTTTCTTGAGTTCTTTATATACTTTGGAGATCAGTCCTCTGTCAGATGTTGGTGGGAATGCAAACTTGTACAACCACTGTGGAAATCAGTATGGCGGTTTCTCAGAAAATTGGGAATCAATCTACCTCAAGACCCAGCCATACCACTCGTGGGCATATACCCAAGGAATGCTAAATCATACCACAAAGATACATGCTCAACTATGTTCATAGCAGCACTATTTGTAATAGCCAGAACCTGGAAACAACCTAAATGCCCGTCAACTGAAGAATGGATTAAGAAAATGTGGTACACAATGAAGTACTACTCAGCAGAGGAAAACAATGACAGTATGAAATTTGCAGGGAAATGGATGGAACTAGAAAAAAATCATCCTGAGTGAGGTAACCCAAACCCAGAAGGACAAACATGGTATGTACTCACTCATAAGTGGATTCTAGATATAAAGCAAAGAACAATCAGACTGCAACCCTCAGAACCAGGGAGGCTATATAGTAGGGGGGGACCCTAGGATGACTGTGGCTTATAATAAGTTTTGGTTTTACTCAATTACTGGGCAAGCCTCAATGAAACATTTCACAATTAGGATAAGAATTCATACTGTATCAAGCTGATAATAGAAAAATAAATTTAAAAAGTGAAAAAAAATAAATGTAACCTTACTAGAAATCAATAAAATATAAATTAAATTATACTATTTTTACCTTAAACTAGTTTTTAAGTTATCATTTTTTTGTTTGGTTTAGTTTTTGTTTTTTGAGACAAGGCCTTGCTAGCCTCTAACTTTCAGCCCTCTTGCCTCAGCCTTGTGAATCCTAGAAGAACAGCGGGAGAGAGGCACCACACCCGGCTAAAATGATCTCTTCATACTTAGTACTGCTGGCCTATGTGTATACGCATTCACACAGAGTAACTAATTAAGTGGACATAAATCTGTTCATTCAGTGCAGAGGTTTCTTTTGCTTTGTCTGTCTTCCTGACAGACTTTCTTGTTTCCCCGTGTTGTGGGGCAAAGAAGGTAAGAGCACTGATTTTAACACTGGGAAAAAAAAAAACTGGGAGACATCTTGCAACTCAACAATGAGAAACTTATTTTATAAATTGTCCTACAGATAATTGTAATAGTACTTTAGGCTTTTTTAAAAATTAGTACAGTGACATGCTTATTGATATCCATAAAATATTGCTACATCAGAGCCAACAAATTATAAAATAACATATATAACCTATATAGGCCTACTTTCGCTTTCAAAACAGACATTTATAAATGTACATATATTTAGCAATCTGTCTACCAATATGTTAACAATAGTTAAAATAACAATTTATTTGGAAGAAAAAATTTTTTGTTTATGTCTGTTCATCTACATTTTAGTTTTTTTTATACAAAACATACATACTTGAAAATTATTTTCTTCTCAATTTTTAAGAAAAAAAAAAAAAAAAAAAAAAAAAGCCCAAAGTTACCAAGTTGTTTTTACATACCATTGTCTCCTCCTCCAAAAGACCACACAGTTCTTCCATCTTTGGACAAAGCAATCGTGTGTGAACTTCCACAAGAAACCTCTCCTACATTGCTAATGTCTTTTACTAATGTTGGAATGTTACGGCTGTTACTGTCTCCATGACCTTAGATAAAACACAGAAATAATGTTAACTCCTTTTCTTCAGTTTCACAAGAGTAATATGCCAGTGGTTACTTTTAAATGCAATTAAATAAAAAAAAGAGAATCATGTCTATCTGCTCTCCCAGGCTCCTAGGTGCTCCCCACATGGGGGAGACAAGCACATTAACAAGTCATCAGGGCATTCTAAGTTTCTGTAACAGTTTACCTTAATCTGCCTAATAACACACCCATGTTAACTTGTTTTCACTGACCAGTACACTATAAACTTCAGGGTCATGATGTTATGTTTCTTATTTCTGAAACTACAACGCCTGGTTACAATGCTTAGAGATTTCATTACATCTTAGATAATAGCACCAGAATCTAGGCAAAATTATCTATAGAAATACAACTAACTTTGAGTTTAAAACTAATAAAATAAATAGCCCATGAACTCTATGCTCACTGGTTCTTAGCAACTGATCATTTCTGCTCTGGGTGAATAATTCCAAATTTTAAAAACTCTTACCTAATCTTCCGAAGTCTCCTTCACCCCATGTATATAATTCGCCATCCTCTGTGACAGCAGCACTATGTCTGTATCCAGCTGATACACAAACAACTACCTGGATTGCACATAAGTAAATATGATAAGCATAGAACTGCTAAAACACATACACACAGGGACATCAAAGGCATTATTACTCACAACTCATGTAGGAGTAGTCATAAGGACCAAGGCTACTGACTAAGCAATTACTTAAGTCCATGTTCTGCTTGATGAGCCCTGAACTCTGGCTTTGACCCAAAGAGGAGAATAACTTTTCTCAATCCAAAAAAGAGACATTGTAATTTCTAGCAAAGACATCAGTCTGATCACTAGCAGGAATGCTATAACATCAATCAAGTCTTTACTGAAGGAGCTGAAGAGAATGCAACAAGAAACAATGGAAACTTTTTAAACCTAAGATTAACATAAAACCTCTAGTCTTTACTGACCAAGGAAAACACATTACATAAAAAGGAACTCAAAAACTACTTGCTATTAACAATATAATTAGAATATAAGCTCACATTAAACTTCTCACAGCCCTTTTTGTCATTGAGAAATTATCTTTGATTAGTATAGTGGTTCTCAACCTTCCTAATGCTGCAATCCTTTAATACAGTTCTTTATGTTGTGGTGACCCCAACCATAAAATTTAGTTGTTACTTCATAACTGTCATTTTTCTACAACTATGAATTATAATGTAAATATCTGTGCTTTCCAATGGTTTTAGGCAACACCTGTAAAAAGGTCATTCAACTCCCCAAATGGGTCACAACCCACACACAGGTTAAGAACCACTGGATTAGTAGAATCAAGGCAGTAAGGACATATAACAATATACCCTGGGGATCACTTATACCTTCTAATACTGATCAATATCATCAGCTACTAAAAAAAATACAGAAAAAGTCAGTACCAATAACTCCCTGCCTTTTTAACTTCCAAAAATAAGAATTTATAAAAAAAAACTTAAATATAAAATTTTTTTAAATGTGAACACCTAATATATTTGCACTGATAAATTCTAAGATTTTTTCATTTGTACATTAACTTAAAATATTGTTACTTTTCCATCATGACATTTAAACTATACTGTTATAGAAAGTGGATATTTAAAAGAATGTAAGTAGAGCAATGGAATTAAGAAAGAAGATATTAGGAGAACTGGAAAATCACAACTGTCTAGAGTAGTTAAGCAGCAGAAGCACCCTAGAGGTCCATATTCAATATCTTTTCAGTCATTATGTTCACTACCTTCAAACTGGCAATCCTAACTGTCTCTATCCAGAATTACAGATGTGTTGCCACACCCAGCACACTCTGTACCTTATCAAATATTTGCTGTTTACAAAGCTGCTTATCAAGTTTACCAAGTGGGATGTTACAAGATCCATTGCCTTTGATGAGTGAGTTGAAATAGTACAAGTCACAACTGTGTGGTATTTATTTTATAGCCATTTGAGAATGTCTCATAATGGGAAAATTTTTATTATATGTATTCTGTTATAAAATTTAAAATCTTAAAACAGAGAAATCGCATAAGTCTGTAAAGAAAAGATAAACAAAAACAAAAAGTTCTGGAACCAATTATTTCAATGAGACTCTTGACAATGCCTTAACCACTCTGAATGCCTCATCATTCAAGGACTAGAGAGGTGGCTCACTCCAGAGAGTGTTTGTCATGAAAACATATGAACCCAAGTCCAGTCACCAGGACTCATGTAAAAGCCAGAAGTGGTGGCACAAGTTTGTAATCCCAGGGCTGGAACTGAGGAGAGAAGAGGACCCCTGGGCTCAATGGCCAGCCAGCTTAGCTTAACTGCTGAGATCCTGTCTCAAAAAACAAGGTAGACAAACTGGAGAGATGGCTGAGCTGTAAAGAGTTTGCTGCTCTTGCAGAGAACCTTGGTTTGGTTTCTGCCACCTGTCGAGTTCCAAAAAATCTGACATCCTCTTCTGGCCTCCTTAGGCATCAGGGGTAGGGGTGTGTGTGTGTGTGTGTGTGTGTGTGTGTGTGTGTGTGTGTGTGTGTGTGTGTGTGTATGTGTGTGTGTGTGTGTATGCACATGCTTGTGCGCGCACATGCATACACACACACACACACACACACACACACACACACACAGTATGCACACATATGTGCAGACAAAACACCCCAATGCATAAATCTTTTTTGTTTGTTAGTTTTCTGAGACAAGGTTAATCTGTGTAGTCCTGACTGTTATTGAACTCACTCTGTAGACCAAGCTGGCCCCAAACTCACAAGAGATCCGCCTGCCTCTGCCTCCCGAATGCTGGGATTAAAGGCATGTGCCACCACCGCCTAACAAAATAAATCTTTTTTAAAAGATATATATTTGTTATTTTTTTCATTATAGGGGGAGGGCAAGTGCATGTGGATATAAGTACCTATGGAGGCCAGAGACACTGCTCCCCCTTGGAGTTGGTATTACAGGGTAGTTGTGAGCTGCCTGATTGGGTACTAGGAACAAGAAGATGGGTCTTTTGAAGAGCAGCATGCATGCTTAGCCACTGAGCCATCTCTCCAGCCTTCCCCCCAAAAAAAATAAATCTTAAAAAGTGCTATCTCTCCAGCCTCCCAAAAAAAATAAATCTTAAAAAGTGGAATGCTGTCCTAGAAACAACACCCAAGGTTGATCTCACATGCGCTCCACACGTAAAGAACTAAAGTTGAAATTAAAAAGAACTAAAATTGAATGACACATGTAAATGCATTCTATAACCTATAAAACAGATACACAAAAAGATAAGACAAAGTGGTAGACAAAAGGTGACTCAGAAAAAAATGTATCAAAACTCAACCAATATTGTCCATTACTACACCAATGAATCTGATTCTTTGTAAACCACAAGAGAGCACATACCTTTCCCTGCAGAGGGCCCTGGATAAGCTTGGGGTATTTCTGGGTTGAACTATTTCCATGTCCCAGTTTCCCATAATCACCATCTCCCCAGCTGAAGACTTCACCTTCTGTAGTAAAAGCTAAAGTGTGACCATCGGAGCCTTTAGATGATGAAACTTTTTTAATGGACCGGTGAGGCTCAAAAGTTAACTTTTTTAAAGTAGACTGATTATTGGAATCTCCAAGGCCCAGTCTCCCATAGCTGCCTTTCCCACAAGCTCTGACAGAGCCATCCGTAGAAATGACAAAAGTGCAATACTGTCCAGCTTCAATCTACAAAAGAACAACAGAATCTTAAGTTAGAAAATGTTTTGAGAGAGACAAGTATGCAAAACATCCACACACATAAAACTAAGCAAATCAAATCTCAAAAAAAAAAAAAAACCTAAAAGATGAAAAAACAAAGTAAAAATTATATCCTCCTCTTATAATTGGAGAAGGGAAAAAAATTCCTACAAATTCTCTAAGAGTCTATTAAAGCAAGAATCATTCACATAAAAACGTATGTTCACATATTCTATACTCATAAGGAAAAAATACAATTTAATGAAAATAAAACAAAGCTTTACACTGGACTACAAATATAAAGTAGGAAAAAAGTGATCATAAGACAATGAAATGCCAATCTCAAAAAAGGAAAAATCCAGTTCTTATTAAGTACTACTTGTGTTGAATATAATAATAAAACCTAATGCCATTCATTAGCTTATTTATTTATTGTTATTTTATTTTATTTATTTATTTTTAGGATTTGGTTATTTTGAAACAAGGTCTCAATTGGTAGTGCTAGTTGGCCTGGAATTCATTATGTGACTCTGTCTCCTGAGTAGTAGCATTAAAGGTGTTTACCACCAAACCCTGCCTCACTAGACTTTTTCAAAATCTAGGTCTCAATTTAATATTTTGAATGTAGAAATGGTGTCAAAGATATGAAAAAATGTATTTTTCTGTTAAAATGAAGAACTGATGTGATATAGAAATAACATAGATAAATGCTCAATCAAGCTTTTTGTTTGTTTGTTTGTTTTTGTTTTTGTTTTTAAAGACAAGATTTCTCTGTGTAACAGCATTGGCTGTTCTGGAACTCACTTTGTAGACTGGCCTCAAACTCACAGAGATCTGCCAGGCTCTGCCTCCCAAGTGCTGGGACAAAAGCATGCACCATCACGCCCAGCTTCAATCAAGAATTTTTACTCATTGAAAAATATACTCAACATTACTTATGGCACAGAAGTATACACGTACACACACACACACATCCCATCATCTATCAGTTCACAAAGAACACAGAGAACTTACGGTCTGAGCATCAGAGAAGCTGGGAGCCAGTTTCGGTTGTAGAATTTTCTCCTGTGTGCCTTCTACCAACTGATGGCTGCTATTGCTGCCCCAGACATAGACTTCACAGGTTTCAGAGACGATGGGAGCATCGCCAGTCTGAATGCTGTCTGGGCTAGCACATGTTCTCGAGTAGTCAGAAGCCATTCTACAAACCTATTAAAAATTTAAATATACAAAATAACCAATATGTTATCAGTCTAGTTTTACATATTCTCTGAAATTATTCTTAACTTCTAATACTCTAAGCTACTCATATCTAACATCATATCCAGCTTTAAATACAGAGAGCTAGAATATTTACTAGCACAGAATAAATCACTAAAATGGGAAGAGGTAAATACACAATCAAGCCTTCTTAAATAAAAGTGTTATCACATACACTTTACAGAAAAATCAAAGTTCATAAAGACAAAGTAGGAGAAAAAAAAAACACTGATAAATCACCTTGACACAATGTTACCTTTTTCATATGCACATTCTTTAACACAGTCATTATAGTAAATACAGAAGTGACAAATGACATTCATACAAAACTTTCTGCCCACTCTTCAAGATTGAATAGACAATAATCCATCTAATATTAAAATCACAATTGACCACTTTCCTCTAATGGTCATTTAAATCCTTTATCTTCGTTATGTAGGCCATTTTTAAGAATCTGCAATTAGGCCAGGCATGGTGATGGACACCTTTAATCCTAGCACCTTTAATCGGGAGGCAATATCAGGCAGATCTCTATGAGACCAGCCTGGTCTACATGGTGAGTCCCAGGATAGCCAGAGCTACTAAATGAGACCTTGGAGACCTTGTCTCAAAAAAGAGTATATAACTGTATTTTGTTAACTTCCTTAATAGGGAATCTCAGAAATGGGATTATATACACAAAAAAGACTGTCTTATGATTCTTGGACCTCTATACCAACTTGCCTTCTAAAATGGTTCCATAGTATTTGGTCACCAGTGTTGCATAAATGGAGGACTGTCCTGAAAACAGTGATAGCCTATAACAACGTGATACACAAATGTATATAAAATCTAAGTCACAGCTTACTTGCAATGCTTTTTTAAAAAAGTAAGCTCCTCAACCAAAGCATAGGACCAAAGGTAACCTTCTGACTGCCCCAACCAAGGAATATATCAGATTATCAGTCTCACTACAAACACGCTAATATTGTATATTAAGGTTTAAAGTATCTTGCAAATTGATGCTGCAGGAAAGAGAAATGCCATTATTTTAACTTCACATCTTCTATCAGTAGAGCTAAAATTAACCCCTCTATTTGCTTTCTATATTTTCTGATATCAACTAACTTTTGCCCAACTGATTTTTTTACTAATGCACATAGACTCAATACAATAAACATATTATCTATCCTTGATTCATAAGCTGGCTTTCTGGAGCCCATTACCTATGGTGGGATGCCTTGCTCAGCCTTCATGCAGGAAGGAGGGGCTTGGTCCTGCCTCAACTGAATGTACCAGGCTTTGTTGACTCCCTATGGGAGGCCTTACCCTTTTGGAGGAGGGGATGGAAGGGTGGATTGGATTGGCAGGTGAGGGTTGGGGAGAGTGAGGGGGGAGGCTGGGATGGAGTGGGAGGAGGGATGAAAGAGGGATCTGTGGTTGGTATGTAAAATGAATTAAAATTTTTCTTAAATAAAAAACAATAAACAGAACTATGACTGTAATTATTGTCAATTTATTTGTTTAAGGGTTTTTAAATAAATAAAACAAAGAAAAATCCTAAAGAGCTAATATGTGTTTATCAGCATATTAAATGGAAAGGGAGAGAAGAATTTCCCTCAGAACCTTTAAATATAACGCAAAGTAATAGAGTAAGTATGATTGACAAGGCTTTCCTAGTGAACAAGGGGACAATTCTGAGGACATATAATTGCTGGTTTCTAATAGAGGACCTAGAATTTCACTGAAGACAAAAGGAGGTAGCAAAAGAGTAGAATTGGTCATTTATAAATACCACTGTGATGAAGTCCTTCCTTGCTTTCTCCAAAAAAGGGGGGGCGGTAAAAAGAAAACTAGAAAAAATATTCATGAGGTTTAAAAACACATTTTTAAAGTAATTTAAAGTAAAGCTGGAAGATGGTTGATAAGCAGGATTCTGTAAAAACCAAATAACAGAACCAGCAGCAACCTGATTCTCTAAACACTTCCAAATCTGCAGAGAAAAACTGAAGCCCCTATTTAACACTCATAATAAATTATGTGTGACTCCAAAAACCATGAACTAAAAGTAGGTGATCACAAAGCACCACAAATATGCACACAGTATTGCCATCCATACAGGAGGAAGCAATAGTGGGCCTGGCAGACCGCAGAACAAGAAGCCTACAACGGTCAGTTGGGTACATTAGGAAGAGCAATAGGCCAATCGAGGAAAACTAGTTATACCGTGGGAAAGTCCTGCCCTTTACACAGCAAACAAGACTAAGGGCTGCAGAAAACTAAGTTTTAAATGTCCTGGGTTCATCTAGCTCTTGTAATAAAAAAATAAATAAAATAAAAAACCAGCCAGGACTCCCTCCCAGGACAGAGCCCAGTGCCAAGGGGAAACTACTGGAGTAGACTGAAAGTGCATGGGATAGGAACAACAGAGAAAAGATGGAGAAAGAAGATGAAAGTGAAAGAGAAGACTGGGAAAACACCACTGTTTTAAACATTATACAAGAATAGGGAAAAGAAAAAAACTGCTACCTTGAATCCCAATCCATTCTAAAGTTCAGGAAAACTAATTTCACATGAAGGTAAGTAAGAAGAACGTTCTGATAAACTTGATCAGTGTGATCATAGTGATGGCTGGCTGTAATCCCAAAGCCCAAGAGACTAAGACAGGAGGATAACGAGTTTGGAGTCAGCCTGGGTCATAGACCCTGTTTCAAAAAACAAAAAGAAGAAACATGGGGTGAGAGGACCCAATGGAGGAGAAGGAGGGTAGATGGGGGGGGGGGAGGAACAAAGAGAGGATAGAGGAAAGGAGGAAGAGATGGAATACATCCCCATAATAAAAATATGACCAAAAAACACACCCCCAACAGAAAATTGTGGCCTACTCCAAGCCAAAAGGGATTAAGAAAATCAAACAATGAGTGAAAGAAAAACACAAATCTGAATTTAAAATGCTCATGTGAAAACAAGAAACCAAGGTGCTTGGCTCTAAATAGGACTGACATATCACACCTCTCCAGCCAAGGTTCAGAGTCTTCACTGAAGGGAAGATAAGATTGTAAGAACCAGAGGTGCTGAATAACTTCAAGGGAAACTTTTCTGAACAAAACAGGACAGTTACACATAGGAACTCATGGGGACTGTGACAGCATGCATAAGATTTGCCCAGCACAAACTAGACAAAAATTCTTGCATGAAGAGGGACAGATGGGCATGAAATCCGACCTCTAGCTGAGGAACTAATGGACATTTGATAACTTCTGGGAGAGGGAGTCAGTTCCCTTTAATGATGTCAACTATTAAATAGGTCAATCAAACTCCAAAGCAAGCCTCACTTCTAAGAGTAGTTGGGCAACATAAACTGGACTTTGTGGATTAGAAAAAAAAGGTAATATTCAAAATTGCGTGAGTAGGAAAGTGAGGGGTAAGTGGGTAGCTCTAGAAGGAGTTGGGGGAGGGGGAAATATGATCAAAGTACCTCTTATGATAGTCTCAAAGAATAAAAAAATATTATTTTAAAATTTTTAGAAGAATGAAGTAAAAATGTTTAACATTAAAAATGAAGACGAAAGCCAGGTGGTGGTGGCACAGGCCTATAATCTCAGCACTCAGGAGGCAGAGGCAGGTGGATCTCTGTGAGTTTGAGGCCAGCCTGGGTTACAGAGTGAGTTCCAGGAGAGGCGCCCAGGCTACACAGAGAAACCCTGTCTCAACCCCCCCCCCAAAAAAAATATACAATAGTAAATAAAAATAGTATGGGGCAGAGAGATGCTCAGCCGTTAAGAGCACTTTCTGACCCTCTAGAGAACCAGAATTTAGTTTCCAGTACCCACACTGGACCACAATAACCGCAGCACCAGGGGATCCAATGCCTTCCTCTGGTCTCTATAGGCACCCACACACATGGCATACATTCACATGACAAACACATACATAGATAAATGAAAATAAGTCTTTTTAAAATTAGCAGACAGCCGGGCGGTGGTGGCGCACGCCTTTAATCTCAGCACTCGGGAGGCAGAGCCAGGCGGATCTCTGTGAGTTTGAGGCCAGCCTGGGCTACCAAGTGAGTTCCAGGAAAGGCACAAAGCTACACAGAGAAAATCTGTCTCGAAAAACAAAACAAAAAAAAAAATTAGCAAACAATGCTTTATGAGTAATGAAAAGATAAAAACGTTTTAGAAATGAAAAATAAACTAAGAAAGTTTTGTTTTGGTTTGTTTTCAATAAAAGGTGACAAAGCTAGGTAAAAGACTAACATAAAACAGAAATTCCTCCCCAAAAAGAAACCAAGTAAAAGGAGTAAAGATAATATGAAAAACTATAATTTAGGAGCCGGGCGGTGGTGGCGCACGCCTTTAATCCCAGCACTCGGGAGGCAGAGCCAGGCGGATCTCTGTGAGTTCGAGGCCAGCCTGGG